GTGTCTCTGCAAGCACTGTACGGGATGTAGGGAACGTTCTCCTAGCTATGAAGAAATGTATCGTATTAGCTACTTTGTTACCTGCTAGCTACTACCCCAGGTCCTTGCATCAAAGCTACCTAGGATTATCATCCTCCACACTTCCTAACCGAATCAGAGAAGCCTCAGTACAGGATGTAAGTGACCCAGCTCACACAATAGATAAGTAGCATAATAGACTTCAGATCCGTTGGATTCCCTGAGTCCAGCCCTTATAAAGATTCTACACAGCAGAGAGAGGACATGAAGATAGAGCAAAAGACAATTTAAGACTCATGAGAAGGGAGGGTAATCAGAGAAGGAGAAGAGAGTTTCTGAGCCTGACTTTAAAAGAGGGAAGGAAATAGAACAAGTAGGAAAGGAGTATACAGTCACTTAAAGAGAAATAAACAAATGGGAAATGAGTATTCCCTAAATAGACTTCCATACTTGGGGAAGAGCATCTACGTAGGGGAATAATGAGAAAAAAATGGTAAAGTAGGAAACAGACGGTGATTCCGCAAAGGCCTTGAAGCAGAGAAGTTTGATTTAAGACTGGAAACTCAATGGAAAGGAAAATCTGATTAAAAGAAGTGTTTAAAATGTTTCAGTGTATGACTGTAAAATGGATATTTCGGTAGAAAGTATATAGAGAGACACTGAAAAAAAAAAAAAATTCTAAATTGACTTTGGTCCTTCCCGCTCTAAAACAGTGTACCATTACATTCCCCTCCTCTTTCAAAACGGAGGCAAGCTTATGCTCTGCGTTTGTGGATATGAGATGCCATATACTTTTCTTTTCTTCCTACAGGCTATGCTTTCCTTTATTAATCAAAAAGGGCCCCTCACAGAAGGCATATTCAGAAACTCAGCCAATATAAAATCCTGCCATGTCCTAAAGGAGAAACTAAATTGTGGGGTCAAAGTGAACCCGTACAGCGAATCTGTTCATGTGGTCGCATCCGTCTTAAAGGTAGGGAAGGTTCTACCATTATCCACACACGAGTAACTGAAGCTATGATTGGTGTCCTTCATCATGACTGCTCAAGAACCATAACGGGCATAATAGATTAAGAACCTGACAAGCTGAAAAACGCTTGACAAAACCAAAATGTAAGGAAGCTACTTTAGGAGTTAAAAGCCCCAAGTGTTAGAAATACTTTCCGTTTTCACTACACACCGCCTTCCCCACCTTCACTCCTGAAGACTCCATGCAAAATACTAATACTGAAATGACTACTAGTCATGATAATAAATTTCAAAATACGCACCGATACATACACACAGTTTACCCATGAAAACATCCTCACCACCCTCCTAATGAAGGCAAACTTTCCAAAAGAAATAGAACAGGGAAAGCATTTAATCCATCCACCTTGGCACTTATGAACAGCTCTGAACAACCCTATGTTAACGTGGTAAATGACTACAGTCATAGAATCTCAGTCACATTTGGTCTTCCCTTGTCCCCCGTTAATGTTCGAAGATGGGATCCATAGCAAGGTCCAGAAATGACTTAGGTAACCACTCCTACACTGGGGCCGTAGTGATATCCAGTAGTAATATACATACAGGCATCAGGAGACAGGAGAAGAATGATGATACACTAGGTAGCAAGATGAGTGTTGCCCTCTGTAAGGTGCACACATGGAATCGATTTTCTAGCAAGAGTTAGGAAGTTCTTTCCTGATTCCGTGTTATAAGCACCGAGTACGAAGAGGGTGAGCACTTGTGGGGAGAGTGCTTAGACATTTCTAAAGTTTTCTCTTCCTGAAGTTGACGGATCTTGGTGGAGAATCAGACTCTGCAACCTTGGCCTTATTAATATCATGGCAAACTAACTGGACAATTGTCCTAAACTAGAAATAAATCTATCCTCAGGACCACAGTGAGTCTGCCATTAGACTCTCGACTTTTAGACAGTTAAGAAAAGGAAGAATGAAGCAATTGTGAGAGTAGCTTTCTTCCAGGGAGCACGCATACCCCGAGTGAGAAGACCTACTTCTTTCCTAATATGTGTGGAAGAGCCCACCTGTTTGTGTTTTGATTGTTTCAGGCCTTTTCTTGCTAGAGTTAAGAGCTAGCACCTTGTCTAAAAAAAGCAACATGGGTATGTGTATTTCTGTCCAGGAAGCTAATAGGATTTAGGATGGTCTATAGCCAGACCCTGTCAGTTTGTGGTACTTTGCAAAAAAAAAGCACACGCACAAAATAAGTTCCAGATGATAGAAGGGAGCTTTATCTTCATTTCCACCACAGGCTAAGCTCTGCTTTTTGCCTCTAAGTTTTAGCGGGAGAAAATCCAAGCACCTGCTCCTGCGTGTGCAAGTCAATGGAGAGTCAGAGCCGAGCTCCGTGTGGGTCCCAGTTTCGGTATCTGTGAAGGAAGTGGGGGCTGAACTGAATTTTTTAACTACATATTTTCTCTGGAATATTTGCAATACATAGTTTCTATAGTATATACAGATATATATATATATTTTTTTATCTCCCTAAGGACTTTCTAAGAAATATCCAAGGAAGTATATTTTTATCTGACCTCTATGACAAATGGCTCGGTGTTATTGATCAAGGCAACAAAGAGGAAAAGATAACTGCAGCCCAGAGGTAATGGTGCCATAATTACTCTACTCTGGTTACATCTCCAAAATACAGCCAACATACTATTAGGAAAACATTGGCTTACGTTTTGCAGCTTTGCCCACTATAATCATGACCAACGCCAAAGAGTTTCAATTCTTCACACCCATGGGGCCCAACTTCAGAATAGAGGCACGCTTTAGGGCTATTATTTTTCTTCTCCTGATCTTATTAATGTGGACTCCTTGGCCGTTTGACACCTTCTGGATCCATGAAACTTGTAGACGAAATTCCCTGGTTCAAGACACATGCAAGAGCATCAACTGCCAGGGCTATGACCTTAAAAGTCTGTCAAACATTTAACTAACCAGAGAAGTGTTTATCTGGCTCAGGAACTGAATTCAGTGCAACAATTTTGTCTACTTTCATGCCTGGAACTCTGCTACAGCGGGTGGTGTGCTAGATATACAAGGATGTATCCTGTTCCCTGTCTCTGTTTTTCCAACCTCCTAAGTGGAATCACTTGCCTAATTTAAAAGTGTGTTTTTCTGACCTTAGGCTTTTAGCCCAGCTGCCAAGAGCAAATGTTGTTCTCTTGCGATACCTTTTTGGAGTGCTATACAACATTGAGCAACATTCCTCATCCAATCAGATGACAGCTTATAATTTATCCGTTTGTATGGCCCCAAACGTTCTTTACCCACCTGATTCCGGCACCTTGGAATTGGAAGACAACTTGATAAGAAAGGTAATGAGAGCTCTCATTTTTGTCCCCCAGGGGGTAGAATCCCTACTTTGAACCGGACATGTGCAGTAGTAACTCTGACGGATGGAACTTTGTGAAGTGCACATTTTCATTAGGCCCCTGTGGAGTGGCAGAGTTCTTTATCCTACTCTGGCGGGGTCTGGGAAGGGGTGTCGTTAAACAGGAAACTCGGAGCAGTCGAGTCACTTCTTCCCCCTCCAGGAGACTAAACACTAGACTGACTAAACGAGAGAGAGAAGAGTCATGTGATACGATAGAAAAGAACCTGGGCTTTGGAGCTTCACCAGTCAAGGTTCAACTCTCAGCCTAATCCCTGAGGGACTCGTAACCTTGGGCAAAGCCATGGTTTCCTCACTACACAATGGCGACAACAGCCAGCTCCTCCGGTCATCACTGGCACATCCTGGGTGGCTTGGGCAATATGAGCCCCCATGCCTCCAAACACATTGGCCTTCCTCTGCCAATTGTGGCTCATCTAGAAAAGTACTCGGCTACTATTTCACCTCTGCTACATCATATAGAAACTAGCAAGAGATTCCAGAATATCCTAATAAGATGACAGGTCTTCCCCAAGCTCACCCAGAGAGAGCCAGCATGAGGCAAAGCAATGCGTGAGAAGGGACTGAAGTTAGACAGACAGATACGTTTTCTCTCCAGCTGTGTGGGTTTTCCCTCACAACCCCACCAAAATCCCTGCTTCCCAACTTTACGATACTTCTTCATTTAAGAAATGGTTTTCTTAAGTTTTTGTTCATACTTTATAAAGTTTCATAAGATGGTATACATCAGTTACAGCTCAGTAAAACTGGAAACAAAATTTAAAAGCAAAAAATAAGTAAACTTTAATAAGGTAGGCTACTTTGAAAATTATCCTTGTTTTATTTATATTTTGATATGTATTTATTTGAAAGAGGGAAAGAGAGAGCGTGAGCGGGGCAGGGGCAGAAGAAGAGGGAGAGGGAGAGGGAGAAGCCCAAGCCCATTCCCCGCTGAGCACGGAGCCCAAAGTTGGCTCCATGTAGGGCTGGATCTCACCACCATGAGATCGTGATCTCCGCCGACATCAAGAGTCAGAGGCCCAACAGAGGGGCCCCGAAATTTATCCTAGGCTAAAGACGTAACCACTGATCCCAAAATGTTAGCTCTTAAACTAGGCCACGTATTATAACTTTAGCCCACGGATGGGCAGTAGTTTAAAATGTGTACCCAAAGTACACGGGAAAGTATCACTCTTTCTAAGTTATTTCTGAGAGAACTCTGGTTTCTATGTGTTTCTGTTTTTTTGTGTTTTTTTTAAACTTTTATTTATTTACTTGACTGAGAGAGACACAGCGAGAGAGGGAACACAAGCAGGGGGAGTGGGAGAGGGAGAAGCAGGCTTCCCGCTGAACAGGGAGCCCGATGTAGGGCTGATCCCAGCACCCTGGGATTATGACCTGAGCCGAACGCAGACGCTTAACCGACTGAGCCACCCAGGCGCCCCTGGTTTCTACATATTTTTATCAACTCTGAATTTTTCTGAGAAGTCCTTCCCATTTTTTCTTAGATCCAATGTCTGTATACAAAATGTGATTTATAATTATGCCCTATGGAAAAGAGCACCCCATTCTTGTCTTTTTGTGTTACAGATTTGTCTTGTACAATTTCTCATTGAAAATTGCCTCAGGATATTTGGAGAAGACATCACTTCCCTCTTGGGCGAGAACTCAATGAGTCGTGGTAACAGCGAGAAGGCTGCAGGTACCGGGAGAAATTTAATTGGCTTTAGTGAGAAGCAGACAGCAAGGTTACCAGGGGTCATGGGAGATGCTTAGACAGAGCTGTTCTGGAGCCCAGAGCATCGCCAGGGCAAGGAGTTCCATGGGCTCCTTCTTCCGAAGTCTGGCTCACAGGTCAAGGGAGGTTCCACACTGTTGTGAGACCAAAGAAAGGATAAGATGAGGTGTCTGACTTCAAGAAGTTTCTAGTGTAGATCATAAGGGCATTAGGACTCATCATGGTATGCTACAGTGTTTGGGAATTTTTTCTAACAAAATTCTAAATGCGTATAACATCATACATATATATATAGTTATATATATATAATTAGATACTTATACTATATAAATATGTAATCAATATATATATATATTTATGTATATAAGATGTGCTCTGTTTGAAGCCAGAGCAAGGGGCCTTTCTTCCCCTCCCTCCTCTTTTGGCTCAGGGGCTCTTGAGGCACCACAGGATTCCAGTGCCCTTTGAAGCGGGTTGAAAAGAACTGGCATCATTGAGAAAAAAGGACTTGACTTGATGTCAAAAAACCTCTCCAGAGTGTAAAGTCCTGTGCCCCATTTACCAGCTATATTATCTTTTGCCAGTTATTCCAGCTCAGCATCAGTTTATACATCTGTAAAATGTGGATAAAAATAATGTCTAAATCTTAGAATTGTGGTAAACACTAAATAAGATGATGGATGGAATCCACAAAAAGCCATTAATAGGACTAGGAGAAGTGCCCCTGAGAGTAGAGCTAGTACGATTTGAGCCTAGCTAATCACAGCTACCTGGCAGCAGTCCACCTTAGAAGGTAGACTTTCGATTCAGAACCTGGAGACACGTATCATCAATCCCTCCATATTTCTGACATTTCTTGGTTTTATGATGCTTACCACATTGCTTTGAGGAAATCTTTAGGACAATACAAGTCATCAGGAATTAAGATGAGTCTGGGGCGCCTGGGTGGCTCAGTCATTAAGCGTCTGCCTTCAGCTCAGGTCATGATCCCGGGGTCCTGGGATCGAGCCCCGCAACGGGCTCCCAGCTCCGAGGGAAGCCTGCTTCTCCCTCTGCCCCTCCCCCTGCTTGTGTTCCCTCTCTCGCTGTCTCTCTCCCTCTGTCAAAATATAAATAAAATCTGTAAAAAAAAAAAAAAAAGGAAAATGAAGGCTCAGCGTATTAAACAACAACTACTACTAATACTCTCTCTTCTTCCTTAGACTCCGGCCCTATGACTGTGACAAGCCGTTCTTTCAGAGCCAGGGCCTTTTGTCGGGGTTGCAGCACTTGTAGGCACACCCAGTGCACAGCCCCACCTTCCGCAAAGCCAGTACAGCTCTTTGGAGTTTCGCTCATGGATATGTGTTATAAAGACAACCTTCCCTACCCAATTCTGGTAGGTCATCTCCTTTGGTCTTCTATAGCCCTCCTGAGGAGGGGACACTCTGAGAGGCCACGTGTCCTCATCCAAATCTATCCTCAAATGGAGTAGTCATTAGACAGCCCCTGGTTTTGGCTGAGAAGCTCTGTTACTGTTATTTCAAGGAACAGAATCTGACTTAGTTCCAGCAGAGTCATGAGGCAAATACAACAGGAAAAGACATTCTTGTCCATTCCACCTGGGTCTTGTTTTCACAAAGACCCACCGAGGCTTATTCAGATCAGTCAAAATGGACTCTGTGTATGTGAGTCTCTGAGAGTCCACCTCATCTTCACACTCTCCCTTCATTGCCTTCCTGCACTCACATGAGTCTCAAGTCTCCTTCAGCGGAGTCTACTCAGTCTAACAACTGCAAACATCTGACACAAGCATAGACTCATCCTCTGGCAAATAGGAATCTGTTAATCCTAACAGAGTATGTCAAATGGAAGCCACAGAGTTTGGCCTGTGTTATCTCAAACTGCTGTAGTGAATTGTCAGTGTGGACGTTCACTGAGTATTCGGTGTCTCTGCAAGCACTGTGCGAGATGTAGGGAACGTTCTGCTAGCTATGAAGAAATGTATCATTTTAGCTAGCATGTTACCTGCTACCTACTACCCCAGGTCCTTGCATCACAGGAAATTTAGGGGCTAGCTAGGATTATCATCCTCCGCACTGCCTAAAGGAATCAGAAAAGCCTCAGTACAAGATGCATGTGCCCCAGCTCACACAATAGATAAGTAGCATAATAGACTTCAGATCCATTGGATTCCCTGAGTCCAGCCCTTATTAAGTTTCTACACAGCAGGGAAAGGATATGAAGTTACAGCAAAAGACAATGAAAGACTCATGAGAAGGGAGGGTAATCAGAGAAGGAGAAGAGAGTTTCTGAGCCTGACTTTAAAACAGGGAAGGAAATAGAACAAGTAGGAATGGAGTATACAGTCACTTAAAGAGAAATAAACAAATGGGAAATGAGTATTCCCTAAATAGACTTCCATACTTGGGGAAGAGCATCTATGTAGGGAATAATGAGAAAGAAATGCTAAATTAGGAAACAGACGGTGATTCCCCAAAGGCCTTGAAGCGGAGAAGTTTGATTTAAAAGTGGAAACTCAGTGGACAGGAAAATCTGATTAAAAGAAGTTTTTAAACTGTTTCACTGTATGATTGTAAAATGGATATTTGGGTCAAAACTATATAGAAAGACACTGAAAAAAAGAAACCAATCTAAATTGACTTTACTCCTTCCCACTCTAAAACAGTGTACCATTATATTCCCGTGCTCTTTCAAAATGCAGGCAAGCTTGTGCTCTGCGTTTGTGGATATGAGATGCCATATACTTTTCTTTTCTTCCTACAGGATATGCTTTCCTTTATTAATCAAAAAGGGCCCCTCACAGAAGGCATATTCAGCAAATCAGCCAATATAAAATCCTGCATGGTCCTAAAGGAGAAACTAAATTCTGGGGTCAAAGTGAACCCGTACAGCGAATCTGTTCATGTGGTCGCATCCGTCTTAAAGGTAGGGAAGGTTCTACCATTATCCACACACGAGTAACTGAAGCTATGAGGCACACTTTAGTCCTTCAACAAGACTCCTCAAGAACCATAAAGGGCATAATAGATTAAGAACCTGACAAGCTAAAAAACCCTTGAGAAAATCAAAATTTAAGGAAGCTACTTTAGGAGTTAAAAGCCCCATGTATTAGAAATACTTTGTTTTCACTACACACCGCCCTCCCCACTTTCACTCCTAAAGACTCCATGCAAAATACTAATACTGAAATGACTACTAGTCATGATAATAAATTTCAAAATACGCACCGATACATACACACTGTTTACCCATGCAAACATCCTCACCACCCTCCTAATGAAGGCAAACTTTCCAAAAGAAATAGAACAGGGAAAGAATTTAATCCATCCACCTTGGCACTTATGTACAGCTCTGAACAACCCTATATTAACGTAGTAATGACTACAGTCGTAGAATCTCAGTCACATTTCGTCTTCCCTTGTCCCCCGTTAATGTTCGAAGATGTGATCAATAGCAAAGTCCAGAAATGACTTAGGTAACCACTCCTACACTGCGGTCATAGTGATATCCAGTAGTAATATACATATAGGCATCAGGAGACAGGAGAGGAATGATGATACACTAGGTAGCAAGATGAGTGTTGCCCTCTGTAAGGTGTACACATGGAATCCATTTTCTAGCAAGAGTTAGGAGGTTCTTTCCTGATTCCGTGTTATAAGCACCGACTAGGAAGAGGGTGAGCACTTGTGGGGAGAGTGCTTAGACATTTCTAAACTTTTCTCTTCTTGAAGTTGACGGATCTTGGTGGAGAATGAGACTCTGCAACCTTGGCCTTGATACTATCATGGCAAACTAACTGGATATTGTCCTAAACTAGAAATGAATCTATCCTCAGGACCACAGTGAGTCTGCCATTGGACTCTCGACTTTTAGACAGTTAAGAAAAGGAAGAATGAAGCAATTGTGAGAGTAGCTTTCTTCCAGGGAGCACGCATACCCCGAGTGAGAAGACCTACTTCTTTCCTAATATGTGTGCCAGAGCCCACCTGTTTGTGTTTTGATTGTTTCAGGCCTTTTCTTGCTAGAATTAAGAGCTAGCAGTGTGCCTAAAACAAGCAACATGGGTATGTGTATTTCTGTCCAAGAAGCTAATAGGATTTAGGATGGTCTATAGCCAGACGCTGTCAGTTTGTGGTACTTTGCAAAAAAAGCACACATACAAAATAAGTTCCAGATGATACAAGGGAGCTTTATCTTCATTTCCACCACAGGCTAAGCTCTGCTTTTATGCCTCTAAGTTTTAGCGGGAGAAAATCCAAGCACCTGCTCCTGCGTGTGCAAGTCAATGGAGAGTCAGAGCCGAGCTCCGTGTGGGTCCCAGTTTGGGTATCTGTGAAGGAAGTGGGGGCTGAACTGAATTTTTTAACTACATATTTTCTCTAGAATATTTCCAATGCATATTTTTCTATAATCTATACACATATTTTTTTTTATCTCCCTAAGGACTTTCTGAGAAATATCCAAGGAAGTATATTTTTATCTGATCTCTATGACAAATGGCTCGGTGTTATTGATCAAGGCAACAAAGAGGAGATGATAACGGCAGCCCGGAGGTAACGATGCATAATTACTCTACTCTGGTCACATCTCCAAATAATACCCAACATACTATGAGGAAAACATTGGCTTACATTTTGCAGCTTTGCCCACTATAATCATGACCAACGCCAAAGTGTTTCAATTCTTCACGCCCATGGGGGCCAGCTCAGAATAGAGGCACACTTTAGGGCTATTATTGTTCTTCTCCTGATCTTATTAATGTGGACTCCTTGGCCGTTTTACACCTTCTGGATCCATGAAACTGGTAGACAAAATTCCCTGGTCCAGGACAGATCAAGAGCAACAACTGCCAGGGCTATGACCTTAAAAGTCTGTCAGACATTTAACCAACCAGGCAAGTGTGTATCTGGCTCAGGAACTGAATTCAGTGCAACAATTTTGTATACATCCATGCCTGGAACGCTGCTAGAGCGGGTTGTGTGCTAGATATACAAGGATGTATCCTGTTCCCTGTCTCTGTTTTTCCAACCTCCTAAGTGGAATCACTTGCCTAATTTAAAAGTGTGTTTTTCTGACCTTAGGCTTTTAGCCCAGCTGCCAAGAGCAAATGTTGTTCTCTTGCGATACCTTTTTGGAGTGCTATACAACATTGAGCAACATTCGTCATCCAATCAGATGAAAGCTTATAATTTATCCGTTTGTATAGCCCCATGCGTTCTTTACCCACCTGATTCCGAAAGCTTGGAATTGGAAGACAACATGATAAAAAAGGTAATGAGAGGTCTCATTCTTGTCCCCCAGGGGGTAGAATCCCTTCTTTGAACCGGACATGTGCAGTAGTAACTCTGACGGATGGAACTTTGTGAACTGCACATTTTCATTAGGCCCCTGTGGAATGGCAGAGTTCTTTATGCTACTCTGGCGGGGTCTGGAAAGGGGTGTCGTTAAACGGGAAACTCAGAGTGGTCGAGTCACTTCTTCCCTCTCCAGGAGACTAAACCTAGACTGACTAAAAAAGAGATAGAAGAGTCGTGTGATACGATAGAAAAGAACCTGGGCTTTGGAGCTTCACCAGTCAAGGTTCAACTCTCAGCCTAATCCCTGAGGGACTCGTAACCTTGGGCAAAGCCATGGTTTCCTCACTGCACAATGGCGACAACAGCCAGCTCCTCCGGTCATCACATGCACATCCTGGGTGGTTTGGGCAATATGAGCCCCCATGCCTCCAAACACATTGGCCTTCCTCTGCCAATTGTGGCTCATCTAGAAAAGTACTCGGCTACTATTTCACCTCTGCTACATCATACGTAAACTAGGAAGAGATTCCAGAATATCCTAATAAGATGACAGGTCTTCCCCAAGCTCACCAAGAGAGACAGTATGAGGCAAAGCAATGCGTGAGAATGGACTGAAGTTAGACAGACAGATACATTTTCTCTCCAGCTGTGTGGGTTTTCCCTCACAACCGCACCAAAATCCCTGCTTCCCAACTTTAAGATACTTCTTCATTTAAGAAATGGTTTTAAGTTTTTGTTCATACTTCATTAAGTTTCATAAGATGTTATACATCAGTTACAGCTCAATAAAACTGGAAACAAAATTTAAAAACAAAAAATAAGTAAACTTTAATAAGGTAGGCTACTTTGAAAATTATCCTAGTTTTATTTATTTTTTGATATGTATTTATTTAAGAGATGGAAAGAGAGACCATGAGTGGGGCAGGGGCAGAGGAAGAGGGAGAGGGAGAAGCCCAAGCCGATTCCCCGCTGAACACGGAGCCCAAAGTTAGCTACATGTGCGGCTGGATCTCACCACCATGACATCGTGATCTGCGCCAAAATCAAGAGTCAGACGCCCAACTGAGGGGCCCAGAAATTTATCCTAGGCTTAAAGATGTAACCACTGATCCCAAAATGTTAGCTCTTAAACTAGGCCACGCATTATAACTTTAGCCCACTGATGAGCAGTATTTTAAAATGTGTATCCAAAGTACACGGGAAAGTATCACTCTTTCTAAGTTATTTCAGAAAGAACTCTGGTTTCTATGTGTTTTTGGGTTTTTTTGTTTTTTCTTTAAACTTTTATTTATTTACTTGACTGAGAGAGACACAGCGAGAGACGGAACACAAGCAGGGGGAGTGGGAGACGGAGAAGCAGGCTTCACGCTGAGCAGGGAGCCTGATGTAGGGCTGATCCCAGCACCCTGGGATTATGACCTGAGCCGAACGCAGACGCTTAACCAACTGAGCCACCCAGGCGCCCCTGGTTTCTACATATTTTTATCAACTCTGAATTTTTCTGAGAAGTCCTTCCCATTTTTTCTTAGATCCAAGGTCTGTATAGAAAATGTGATTTATAACTATGCCCTATGGAAAAGAGCACCCCATTCTTGTCTTTTTGTGTTACAGATATGTCTTGTACAATTTCTCATTGAAAATTGCCTCAGGATATTTGGAGAAGACATCACTTCCCTCTTGGGCGAGAACTCAATGAGTCGTGGTAACAGCGAGAAGGCTGCAGGTACCGGGAGTAATTTAATTGGCTTTAGTGAGAAGCAGATAGCAAGGTTACCAGGGGTCATGGGAGATGCTTAGACAGAGCTGTTCTGGAGCCCAGAGCATCGCCAGGGCAAGGATTTCCATGGGCTCCTTCTTCCGAAGGCTGACTTGATGTCAAAAAACCTCTCCAGAGTGTAAAGTCCTGTGCCCCCATTTACCAGCTATGTTACCTTTGATCAGTTTTTCTAGCTCAGCATCAGTTTATTGATCTCTAAAATGTAGATAAAATAATGTCTAAATCTTAGAATTGTGGTAAACACTAAATAAGATGATGGATGGAATCCACAAAAAGCCATTAATAGGACTAGGAGAAGTGCCCCTGAGAGTAGAGCTAGTACGATTTGAGCCTAGCTAATCACAGCTACCTGGCAGCAGTCCACCTTAGAAGGTAGACTTTCGATTCAGAACCTGGAGACACGTATCATCAATCCCTCCATATTTCTGACATTTCTTGGTTTTATGATGCTTACCACATTGCTTTGAGGAAATCTTTAGGACAATACAAGTCATCAGGAATTAAGATGAGTCTGGGGCGCCTGGGTGGCTCAGTCATTAAGCGTCTGCCTTCAGCTCAGGTCATGATCCCGGGGTCCTGGGATCGAGCCCCGCATCGGCCTCCCTGCTCCGAGGGAAGCCTGCTTCTCCCTCTGCCCCTCCCCCTGTTTGTGTTCCCTCTCTCGTTGTCTCTCTCCCTCTGTCAAAATATAAATAAAATGTGTAAAAAAAAGAAAAAAAGGAAAAAGAAGGTTCAGCGTATTAAACAACAACTACTACTACTAGTACTCTCTCTTCTTCCTTAGACTCCGGTCGGAAGACTGTGAAAAGCCATTTTTTCAGAGACAGGGCCTTTTGGTGGGGCTCCGGCACTTCCCAGCACACCCAGTGCACAGCCCCACCTTCCGCAAAGCCAGGACAGCTCTTTGGAGTTTCCCTCATGGATGTGTGTGATAAAGACAACTTGCCCTTCCCAATTCTGGTAGGTCATCTCCTTTTGGTCTTCTACAGCCCTCCTGAGGAGGGGAAACTCTGAGAGGCCACGTGTCCTCATCCAAATCTATCCCCAAATGGAGAAGTCATTAGACAGCCCTTGGCTTTGGCTGAGAAGCTCTGTTACTGTTATTTCAAGGAACAGAATCTGACTTAGGTCCAGCAGAGTCGTGAGGCTAATACAACAGGAAAAGACTTTCTTATCCATTCCACATGGGTCTTGTTTCCACAAAGACCCACCGAAGCCTGTTCAGATCAGTCAAAAAGGACTCTGTGTATGTGAGTCTCTGAGAGTCCACCTCATCTTCACACTCTCCCTTCATTGCCTTCCTGCACTCACATGAGTCTCAAGTCTCCTTCAGTGGAGTCTACTCAGTCTAACAACTGCAAACATCTGACATGAGCATGGACTCATCCTCTGGCAAATAGGAATCTGTTAATCCTAACAGAATATGTCAAATGAAAGCCACAGAGTTTGGCCTGTTTTATCTCAAACTGCTGTAGTGAATTGTCAGTGTGGACCTTCACTGAGTATTCGGTGTCTCTGCAAGCACTGTACGGGATGTAGGGAACGTTCTCCTAGCTATGAAGAAATGTATCATATTAGCTACTTTGTTACCTGCTAGCTACTACCCCAGGTCCATGCATCACAGCAAATTTAGGAGCTAGCTAGGATTATCATCCTCCACACTTCCTAACCGATTCAGAAAAGCCTCAGTACAGGATGTATGTGCCCGAGCTCACACAATAGATAAGTAGCATAATAGACTTCAGATCCATTTTATTCCCTGAGTCCAGCCCTTATTAAGATTCTACACAGCAGAGAGAGGACGTGAAGATAGAGCAAAAGAGAATTTAAGACTCATGAGAAGGGAGGGTAATCAGAGAAAGAGAAGAGACTTTCTGGGCCTGACTTTAAAAGAGGGAAGGAAATAGAACAAGTAGGAAAGGAGTATAGAGTCACTTAAAGAAAAATAAACAAATGGGAAATGAGTATTCGCTAAATAGACTTCCATATTTGGGGAAGAGCATCTACATAAGGGAATAATGAGAAAAGAGTGGTAAAGTAGGAAACAGATGGTGATTCCGCAAAGGCCTTGAAGCATAGAAGTTTGATTTAAGAGTGGAAACTCAATGGAAAGGAAAATCTGATTAAAAGAACTGTTTAAATTGTTTCAGTGTATGACTGTAAAATGGATATTTGGGTAGAAAGTATATAGAGAGACACTGAAAAAAAAACAATCTAAATCGACTTTGGTCCTTCCCGCAGTAAAACAGTGTACCAGTACAGTCCCCTCCTCTTTCAAAACGGAGGCAAGCTTGTGCTCTGCGTTTATGGATATGAGATGCCATATACTTTGCTTTTCTTCCTACAGGGTATGCTTTCCTTTATTAATGAAAAAGGGCCCCTCACAGAAGGCATATTCAGAAACTCAGCCAATATAAAATCCTGCCATGTCCTAAAGGAAAAACTGAATTCTGGGGTCAAAGTGAACCCATACAGCGAATCTGTTCATGTGGTCGCATCCGTCTTAAAGGTAGGGAAGGTTCTAGCAGTATCTACACACGAGTAACTGAAGCTATGACTGGTGTCCTTCATCAAGACTGCTCAAGAACAATAATGGGCATAATAGATTAAGAACCTGACAAGCTGAAAAACGCTTAACAAAAGCAAAATTTAAGGAAGCGACTTTAGGAGTTAAAAGCCCCATGTGTTAGAAATACTTTCTCTTTTCACTACACACCGCCCTCCCCACCTTCACTCCTAAAGACTCCATGCAAAATACTAATACTGAAATGACTACTAGTCATGATAATAAATTTCAAAATACGCACCGATACATACACAGTTTACCCATGAAAACATCCTCACCACCCTCCTAATGAAGGCAAACTTTCCAAAAGAAATACAACAGGGAAAGAATTTAATCCATCCACCTTGGCACTTATGAACAGCTCTGAACAACCCTATGTTAACATAGTAATTACTACAGTCATAGAATGTCAGTCGCATATGGTCTTCCCTTGTCCCCCGTTAATGTTCGAAGATGTGATCAATAGCAAGGTCCAGAAATGACTTAGGTAACCACTCCTACACTGGGGCCATAGTGATATCCAGTAGTAATATACATACAGGCATCAGGAGACAGGAGAAGAATGATGCTACACTAGGTAGCAAGATGAGTATTGCCCTCTGTAAAGTGCACACATGGAATCGATTTTCTAGCAAGAGTTAGGAGGTTCTTTCCTGATTCCGTGTTATAAGCACTGACTAGGGAGAGGGTGAGCACTTGTGGGGAGAGTGCTTAGACATTTCTAAAGTTTTCTCTTCCTGAAGTTGATGGATCTTGGTGGAGAATCAGACTCTGCAACCTTGGCCTTGATACTATCATGGCAAACTAACTGGACAATTGGCCTAAACTAGAAATGAATCTATCCTCAGGACCACAGTGAGTCTGCCATTAGACTCTCGACTTTTAGACAGTTAAGAAAAGGAAGAATGAAGCAATTGTGCGAGTAGCTTTCTTCCAGGGAGCACACATACCCCGAGTGAGAAGACCTAGTTCTTTCCTAATAT